GATTTGTATGGCAAGGTCAACAATTGATTTAACTTGACTGTAAAAAATCAAACTTTTGGCTTCTACATAGAGTTATCCAGGTCTTTACTAGTGTTGGTTTCCAAAACTCGAGAGTTTTGCAACCATGCAAAAGTCAAAAGGTTTCGCCATAAGTCAAAACTAGTTTTGATTTTTGACTATTGACTTTTGATTTAGTTTTGACATATAACTTTTAATTTTAGTTTTGACTTTCACCTCTTCAAAATAGTTTTGGTGACCAACACTAGTCTTTACACAGTCCTTGGCAAATTGTTAACACAATGCTTGTAGGTAAAGTGTCCTGTTGGTAAAGTGTCTTGTTGGTAAAGTGACCAGGTCCCCTCACCCGCCAAGTCTGAGCGGAACGTAAATATTGTGTGTAACTGGCAGAACAAAGTATGTAAATAGGCATGACTATACAGTACTATTACTGCCATTAAGTCAAAAATGATGCAAGTAAAATTGCTTGAAGGCCGATAAAATATAAAAACTCACAAAAAACTTATAAATATGTCTTTTAATCTTTCATTAAATTAAATTACTTTGGCACACTTTTTATATCGAGCTGTTCAATTTTTTATTGTTTGCCAACGAATTAAATAGAGCATATCGTAAAAATTTATTAGGTGAATGATTTTTTTATGAAAATTAAATATTAGATATACACGTAATATCACTAAAAAAATCTTTAAAACCTATCTCGGCATTTGATTATGATATCTGTGACCTGTGGAAAACAACATCACGAATTATTTATTTTATAAACTTTTCAAATATCATGCATTGAAAATTATATACATGCAAGACCAGTATGCCGTAGAGCTACTTCCAAATTACTTTAATTTTTACCAATGGTTATAATTTTATTATCTTTAAAGACATATGATGGGTCACGTCGTATAGTTTATTGTTGTGTCTTTAATTTTTCATTTCTCTTTATTTTAAATTATAAAAAATAATGAATAAAATTATGAAATTAATTAATTAACTTCAACTTTTTAAAATTTTAACCTTATCAGCCCTCCTTTCAACTACTTATTCTTTATTTTTTTTATTTTTTTTATTTTTTATAAAGGCAATATCCTGCTCATATAATTTTATTAGAATAAAGCAAATATAATGAAAATAATTCACAAAATAAATTCCAAATTAACTTTATATGAGGCTATTCCTCTTGAAAATAATTAAAAAGAAAATATATACATATTTAAATTTAACATTTCAGAAAAAACAGATATGCCAAACAAAGTCTATGAAGTTTATTCAGTCTCAATTTAACAATTTTAACTGCATCATAGATATTGTTGACTGATCCGGATATTACCTAGGTAATAGGAAGTCAGATCCAGTGTTAATGAAGTTATTATTAAAACTAGATGAGAATTATTAGAATTAGGATTTGAAACTACTTATTCTTTATTAATAAATAAATAATCATATTAGTAATTAATAAATTTCAATTAACTAACTATATATTTAATTTGTTTTAATAAAATTATACTTTATAATTCAATAAGCTATCATTACTTAAATTTAATTTAGCAATTTCATCATTTAATATTCTACTTGTATGGTATGCAAATGGATGTGATTTATAAATTTGTTGTGAATTACTATTATCATTACTATTCTTATTATTACTACTACTGCTACTACCACTATTATTATCACCACCACTGCCAATAACATTGCTATTTTCATTAAAACTTGCAGTCATAAAAATATTAACAGAAAGTTCCAAAGCTCTCCTGCAGTTGGCCTCTTGGTTGGATCCATGTCCCAACATCTTTGCATCATCTGTGCATAGTCATCAGGCATTCCTGGTAATATTGGTGGTCGTAAACCTTCACATATATCTACCATTAAGCAATTATTATGAGCTCTATTATCAAATGGTGGATGACCTGCAAATATTTTCCACATTAACATTCCAACACTATAAACATCTGATTCTTTTGTGTTCTTTTTTCCTTTAAATATCTCAGGTGCAATGTATGATACAATTCCATAAATTCTATTTGATCAACTGGTCCACATAATCCAAAATCTGTGATAAAGCTATCATTACCTCACTCATTAATATATTACCACTGTGTAGATCACAATGTATCAAGTCTTTTTCATGAATAAAATATAATGCCTCACATAAACAGTTTAAAATATTAATTCCACCCTTTAATGTTAAATTTGAATGATTTCTTTGTAAATAATCTAAATAATCTCTTTAATTTCCTTTTGAATGATAATTTAGAACCATTGCATGATTTCCATTTTCTGGGAATTTAGTTTTAATTTTACGATAATTTAATGCCTGTAATTATAAATAAATCAATTAATTTAAAATAAAATGGTTTAAATAAGGTCAATTACCTCATCAAAAAAAAAATTTTTCTGAATTATTTAAAGATTTCATTTCAATGCTACTTTCTGAGCTCCAAAATAATTAAACTTTTTTTTATTTTCATCATAATCATCAATACTTCCTCTTGTCCACTCTGCAGTATAAATTGAACTGAATACATCCAACCTTCTGTTAACTTTTTTATATTTTCAAATTGCTCACAAGATATCCATTCTATAATTCCATCTGGAAGAGATGAAAGCTTTTGACATTTTTAAATAAAATTATCAATTATTCTACTTCCAGATGTCCAAGTATCAAAAAGATTCTATAAGTGTAAACTAATACACTTTTCACAAAATATCGTGCTGTTTTGCAATTTTTACATTCGTTTGGCTTTCCCGATTTATTTCTTGCATTATATAATCCAATATTATAAGCAAAATTTTCTCTACAGATATTCTTTTTCATTTGCTAAAAGTTCTTTGTACTCTTTGATTAAATGCGAAAAACAACCTTTATTATTTTCATTCTCAGAAATAGTGGAAAGGGCAGAATAAGTATTATTATGCATTTTCATAATAAATTTTAAATACAAAATCTTCTTTTAACCTTTTAGTATTAATGATAATGGGGGTAATTGATTATGACTCACGACAATTACAACAATATTTACTGTTTTACTATTACACTAATTCTTTATTATTATGAGGCAATCATTCATTCTCTGAAATAAAACAAATAGATTAACATTTTAGAACAAGAACAATACATATGAAGTATATTTAACATTTAACTGCATCATTGGCATTGTTGACTGGCCTGGATATTATTACCTAGGGAGAAAGAAGTCAGAACTAGAATTAACACTAATGCTAGATTTACATACGAAATTGGGAAAAGGCTTTGAAAGAAAAGATAACAAAAATAATGTTAATAAATGGTGAAATCTCATCACGACTAACTTATCATTATAATTAATTAATGAAATTGACTTATTAAATAAAATTCAGATCATTATCGTTATTTTTTTAAATTAGGCAATTTCATCATTTAATTGTTTCTACTACTATCGTTACTACTATCATTATTACCGCTATGATTATTATTTCTGCTGTTGCTAGTGCTACTATACATAAAGTCAAAATTAAAATCCCGAGAAATACTTTTATCGTTGAACATCTTGACTTCTTTGACAAAATTAAAGCTAATACTAATTAGAAAATAAATCGTGAATTATACTCCACATTTTCATGGCATGGTAAATTATCTCAAGTCTCAAGTGACAATTTGGGATAAAAAACCCAGCGGATATTCTATCACGTGATTTCAACAGTAATCCCGTTTCCTCTTACTATTATCACATCACCTGTTCCCTTTGACTTGTCAATATCAAATGAATAGTTGAGATTAGAATGTTTGTTGAATGTAATTTGTCATAATTTGTGGTGTGAGTGTACTTTCTAAAACTTTTTATTTGTTGTGAGAATCAGGCCATCACATTTTTGTAACACTATAATTAATAATCCATTTTTGGTATCGAATATAAATTTATATGATCTTTCCTTTTGATAAAACAAATATAATCTCTTTGATACATAAATTTTTTGACAATGGAAAATAATAAGAATTCAGAAGGTATATATAATATTATATAATTCATGTTGAAAGTAATAAATAGTATAACACAAATCATTGGTGATGATGCAAAAAAAAACTAATGATTGTTGCAAAATGTAGAAGTTGTGGCAAAAAAACCATATGAAGTTGGTCCTTCATTTGCTTTACCCTCGTTCAAAAAGAATACAAGTGCAGCAACAACAAACGATAAGAAAGTTTCTGTTTGGACCCTTTCTAATGTAGACAATGAAGAAGAAACATTGGAGAATGAAGACGAGTTATTGGATGAAGAAGATTTAATTAAACCGGACAAGAGTACTTTGACTCGTACGTTTTCTACTCGTTATTCCATAAATGTCAATAATACTATTATTTACACATTCGATAATTCGAATAGGTCCTGATTGTGAAACTAGCGGAAAACGTAAAGCATGTAAAAATTGTTCATGTGGTCTTGCTGAAAAATTAGAACAAGAAGTTAAGGTTCCTGAATTTACTTCATCTTGTGGAAATGTATGTATTACACGCACACATATACGTCTGTACATCTGCAATATTTACATATGTCAATAATATTTATTTTATTATGTGTATATATATATATTTTTATTATGATTCTTTTCTTAAATACACATTATTAGTGTTCTCTTGGTGATGCTTTTCGTTGTTCAACATGTCCTTATCTTGGCACACCATCATTTGCGCCTGGTGAAAAAGTTACATTGGCAGGAAATTTGATGCAAGATGATATTGAGGTTTAGTACTTGGCGGTAATTATATAGCACGCATAATTTAATAATTCAAAATTCTACAAAGAATTAATATTTCCTGAAATTTTATTTTAAACATTCAAAATAAATACTATACAAGTATTATTTAATTATTATTATTCTATAAAATAATTATTATTAGATTGTTATTATTATTAATTAGAATATTATACTATATTACTCTATTATGATTAATAATTATTAAATATATTAAAAAATCAATCAATTTTAATTGTTCATTAATCTGTTGTTCATTCAGCGGAAACACGTTCTACATTTAATGTTAAACAAATAATCATCACCAAGAATCCATAGAGAGCCAGTAATGCTGCACCAATCTTATATCTATCCCATGGATCATTCTGATGAATTTTATAATAAAATATACCAGGTAATATAAATGAGATTGTTGTGGATCCTGTTGATCCAACGAATGCAAATACCTATTTTATTAATTTTTTAAAAAAAATAACAATAAAAATTAAGCATTTTTTAAATATTTAATGAAATGTTTTCCAAAAAATTTAAAAACTCGTAACATACCAAATCCAATTTTGTTACGGAAATTGCAATCGTATAGCTTGAAATTAAAATTCCGGATGTTAAAAATATATATTTAACTTTCATTAATAAATCGTCATCAATCTTACGATTATTATTATTATCTGATAGAGTTGGTGATGTTGAAGTAGTTCTTGATCGAAAAGTTAAAACTTTATCCAGACATGCTCTAGCAGGATGCGCTTGAAGTGGATACGAAAATATTACCAATATCACGATTGCTATCCTACCAATTGTTACTATTAAACCTGCATTATCTATAATTTAAAAATAAAAAAATTAAAACATCAATAATGAGTTATATAATCATTTTACACGTATAAAATATATATAACATACATTCTGATATTATGTTTGGTAAGACATCATCACCAAAACTTAGATAACCAAATATTCCAATTATTTGATAAACAATTGCTGATGTTCCAATAGCAGTGATAATAACATTATTAATATTTCTTTGATTATTGAACTCAAGCTCATTATAAATGGTAAAAAGCTAAAATAAATAAATGATAAAATTAAAAAATATTGAATTATCATAATTTAAAAATAAAAACAAAATAAAACTAACTTACATTTTGATGACAAGTAAATGAAAATATAAATATTGGTAAATTTGAAAAAAATTTACTTGATAAATTAACAAAATGTATTTTGTCTTTTGGTGGTGGGTCATAATCTGGAGCAAAATAGTAATAAATGACAATGAAAATCAAATAGACAACAGCAATCAAAGCTATTGAACTTGTGTGCTTCAACGAATCCAATCTTTTTAAGAATGACAATGGCACAATGAAAATCATCGCGACCGATATCCAAAAAGTTCTATCTGTCAACCAAGGAAAGTGGCTTGAAACTGTTTTATCCAGTAAAAATTTAACTACTTCTGGCATCAAATCACCAGTAATCATGAGATATGAAATTGATACTCCAAAACATTTGATTGCTATGGCCAAATCAAAAAATATGCCAACTGATGCATAGGTTAATTGTGATACTGCAAAAAACGATGCATTACGACCATTTGTATGGGTTGCTACCCTTGACAAAAAATATAAACCCAAACAAGAAGTAAAGCCTGCGTAAAGTATTACCACACTTCCAACAACAAGACCAACTGACGCAATTGCTGCCGGCTAATAAATAATAATATTATTATTAATATATATTTTGTGTGAAATAAATAATAAATAACGATTAATTACCATGGCCAACATGCCAGTTCCAATAATTGTATTTGCAAGATTTATCTAATAAAAAAAAATATAAATATAAATCATTTAATAATCCTATTATTATTCTATTATTAATAATTAATTTCATTTTTACCTACAAAACATGAAAAAAAGGTAGCCTTTGCACGATGGCCATCAGTAACTTCATCTTGAATGGTTATACTTTCACCTAAAAGTGGTAACTGCTCCAAAGAATTTCCATCACTTGTTATTGTAGAATTTGGTATTGCTTCCTCTTCGTCTGTGTTAACTGCAGAATATTTTATCATATTTTTCTTTCAAAAAAATTCAAATTAGAAAATTTTATGTTCTATATAGGTAAAAAATGGTAAAATGATTTTTTGATTCAAACATATTTATTATATATATATTTGTTTTGTTTTCTGAAGAAAAACCAATAGCGGTCGGTGGACGTAGTTTTGTTATACATAAATAGAATTTTCATCATTGTCCATTTTTGGATTAATATTAATGAATATTAATGTTAATAACAGAAGCAATTTTCATTGTAATTTCTATGTTGTAGATAACTCTAAATTTTATTTAAACCAAAAACAAGAATGATGTGTTGTGTATGCGTAAGTTAGATAAATAGCGAATTTCGATTTAATCATTTTTATTATAGTAAATAGTAATTGTCTTCTAGGATTATGTTCTTAGTATTAGTGCCTAACATTTTTGTTGCTACTAAAAATATGTATGAGACGAATATGGAGATTCTTTTTTATTGTTTCTATAACAAAAAAAAGATGCTAATCCTAAAAACGTCCAATGAAATCATAAAAAGATTAAATTATCTTTTATCAAATGCCACTGACACGACTTTTAAAAATCGTTGAAAAAAAAACATCTCGGAAAAATTCGACCACGAAATACTCAACACGACCTGTATATATTATATTAAGTAAAAATTCCTTTATGGTCAAAAATAACTTGGTCATGTGCGTTTCAAACCCGGATAAAAGATCATATCACGATTTTTGTTGTTCAATGTCAATGATAATTGAATTCAGCCTTTTAAATTCAAATTGAACTGAAACGATTCATTCAGAGCCTTGTTCTCTTCTTCGAATTCACAATTATTACTATTATGCTTATAATGAATTCTTGTTAGTAAAAGGATAAAATTTACGACTACAGTCAAAGCTCATAATTTATAATTTTTTCAGGAACCAACGCCAGTTATATTAAAGTTTTATTCAACAATTTCATAATTGATAAAGTCATATACAACTCTCTGACTTTTTATTATGTGCCACCAATTTCATTCATCAACTTTAAATTTCAATATTATCTCATCATCTTCCAACACCATTTCTATGATTTCTAATTTTATAAGAAGATCTTTTACAGTATTAAAATTATGCCTTCTCTCTTGTTCTGATGGAAATTCCTAATAATGATATTTTTATTATTAATTATAATAATATAGGCACATACATGTAAAATATTGATAATTTACCGCTTGCAATTGCTTTAAAGTGATTTTCTTACTATCAGAATCGAGCAAAAATATTATAATTTTTGCCATAGTATTGCCAATGTTATCTGTCTGAAAAAGAAATTTACACAATCTTCTCAAGTTCTCAATGCCAGTTGATCTTTGATTCTGACGATCTTGAATCGCCTAAGAAAATAATAGTAGAGAACAATAATTAAAACACGACCTATCAGATTTCTATAACTTGATCAGTTATTCATACCTTTTCGTAATCTTCTTTCAATGCTGATAAATACTGATCACATATTAATCCAAATTTAGTGAAATTGTTGGCTTGTGCATAAATCAAAAGAAATCAAAAAAGAGACTTTTTCGTTATTGAGTGTTTAAAAATGATGACAAGAAATATTACAATCTTTTATGAAATCATACTTTTTCCGTTGAATTTCGGTAAGGTTGAATTTTCAAACATCCTTCTTTCTTTGATCTTATCCAATCCGTCCAGTTCTGTTAAATTTTGTTTTTGCGATGAAAGCTCATCTTCCTAATCAAAAATATTTTTTGATTAATTCACAACAACAATAATTCATATTATTATTAATATATTACCTTTCTTCTATAATCTTCATCTAATTCTTGAACACATTTAGTTATTCTTTCTTTCTTTTTTTTCAATTCTCTTAGTTTTTTTAACTGCAAATTTTCTAAATTAGTTGATGAATGCATTCCTCTAAAATTTGAATTATCAATATTGTAATTATTATTATAATTATATCTTGATCTAGTTTGGAATGGTGATTTCTCTGATTTTCCATACAACTGATTTTCTAATCTATCCACCTGTAACATCAAAGTGTGTATATAATATGTTGACATATATATCTATATATAAAATAGTGATATTTACAGTTACATAGCAAATGTGTAATTATTTAAAACCTTTTCCTGTAAACAATTGTCTTTTTCTTCTAGTTCCTTTAATAAAATTTCTGTTTCAGAAAATAAATATTTGATTCTTGATTCGAAATGTAAAGAAGTTTGATTTTTCATTTGATTTAATCTTGTTTCTGTAATAAGATCACACACCTAAAAAGAATTGATATTAATCTCTTTATTTTAATATATCGCATCACAACTATTGCTTACTGTATCACACTTTATCAAATTTTTTAATCTAGTAAATTTGGTTAAAACTTCATCGAGTCCTTTTACGGTTCTTTGAAGCTATTAGTAATTACTAATTATTATTTTTTTTTTTTTATAGTTGTTATCATCAAAAGATAAATAAATAAGCTTACGTACACTAGAAGAGCTATCTTTTAAGCATGAAGCACATTGTTGGAGACTTTGTAAATAATTGATTTGTTTTTTTGATGTATTTTTAACATTAAGTTGCTTTCTTGGTGACATTTGTTTTTTTTTTTATAACAAAGGGATGAAAATCATGTTGCAGATCTCATTTTTAATACGCGTTATCGAGGTTTATGATTGGCTAAAGATGCTCTTTAATTATTTTCGATTAATCAAATCAAGCCAGATAAAACCTGAAAGTAAAGATGAAAGAAAAGTAAGAAAGTATGATTTTGGAATTGATTATTCTGTGTGAAAGTTATTGAATAATATTAGAAAATATAAGATCATTGTCTATGATGATGATCACATCTACATATTAATATTATTCATACAAGGGAAAATCCAGCATTGTTTACAATATGTAAAGAAAAAAAAAACAAAATCACGTCGCATTCGAGTTGTAACTAGTATCTAAATCCAAGCCTTATATGAGCGAGTCGATTTTAACTTGTATAACAACTTTTATTTAATACATAAAGCTTGATATTTAATTGGTATGCAATGCTGATTTATTTGTCACGTTCAAGTAATGATATATGACGAAACTTTTGACTTTAGCCATTGACGTAACTAAAGTATTGACTAAAAGGTAGTTGCTCATCAAGGCCGTTCGACAATTTGACTAAAGTAAAAGCCCTTGATGTAGGTAAAATCACTTGACGTAATTAAAAATACTTGATGTAAGTGAAAATGCTTGCTTGATACAGTTCCAAATTGTGTAATGTAAAAATTTATGTCTCGGGGATAAATAAAGAATTATTATATCATTGTATGAATATTACAATGATGCAAGAAGAATAATTATCATGGGAAGTTTAATTTGAATTAGAAATTTTACTTCATTAAACTACTTGTTTTTTCCCCTTCTTTTTTACAAATTAAACTCATTCTTCTGACTTTGAAGTTATCTACGCATAATAGTAATACGCAATAGTATTAATAATATTAATAATATGCTTGAGCTGTCTTTGATGTCTGAGTTTGAAGGTTTATCAATATTGGTACTTGGAACGACCTTTACATATCATGTTTTAATTTTGATTTCTATTTTAAATCTTCAAAGAACGCTGAAATTCTTTTATTGTTGAACCAATTACTAGAGTTTGGTGGTGATGAAGTTGCTCTTTAAGGGTAGGGGGAATCACGTGCCAAATTATATATTAGATCCGGCTCAAAAATCCAAATTTATGCACGTTACATAGATAAGTTACGCGAAACGCGTTTAAACATCTTCAAAATTTTGTTGCATGTAAATACAAAACCCCTTTAA